GGGAGGGAGGGAGGGAGGGAGGAAGGAAGGAAGGAAGGAAGGAAGGAAGGAAGGAAGGAAGGAAGGAAGGAAGGAAGGAAGGAAGGAAGGAAGGAAGGATGGATGGATTAGGGAAAAAGAAAAATAAAGTAGAAGCAACAGACAAATGTAAAACATAGACCACCACAGGAACACAGCTAGAGAGAAAATGATAATGAAAATGGCTTACTTTGACATGGCTCTGGGCTCCCAGGTTGTAAATCTCTGTAGGCTTCACTTCATTGATAATCTTCACAAGGCAGGTACTATCAGTAAGATCTCCATAGTGCAACTTCATGTCTTTAGAATTCAAAAACCGACCATTAGATAAAAGAAAACAATAAAAGCTCAACTTTTGAAAATATCAGACTTGAAATGCATACACTTACAATGTCTGTAAACCAGGGTCAGAACGGAAATGTTGTCCTGGAGCAGCAGAATATAGTTATCATCTTTAAAGAACTTATGAGGTAAGAATGTAGCTCAGTGATAGAGTACTTGCCTAGCATTCACAGTACTGGGTTTTGTCCCCAGCATCATAAAAATAAACAAAGGATGAACCTACACAGTAGAAAGATATTTACATATATTTCCTATATCTATGAAGGATTTATAGGGATAAAATCAGATGAACTTTTTAAAACATTACCATACAATAACAGATGTTAAACAATTAATATATCTTACAACTCCAAGCAGTTGGAAGATGTGTTATGTAAGAGTGATTTTTCAGGCAAATAAAATTTTGTAAGAATGTATATACATTCTAAGCACATCTATAACATACTGATGATAGTAACAATAGCTCATATTTATTATGTTTATTCATATACTTTCATCTACTGATTTATAAATACATTATAAACATCAGACCTTAAGCTATCTATGAAAAGTCTGACACTATAATATAACTGTGATTAGGACAACTAGCCTATTCCAACTCCTACATCTAAGTTGATCCTTATACTGACTTCATTAGTGTAAGAATTTAAAATGTATAGATGGGTAATTTGATCATTTCATTATTTTTACAAAATATTGATCTTATCATTATCTCTCTACCTGTGTTCCTGTGGTGGTCCATGTTTAACATTTGTCTATTGCTGCTTCTTTTTTTTCCCCCTGTAATACCTTTATTTTGTTTGTTTGTTTGTTTGTTTGTTTGTTAATTTTGGTGCTGAGGATCAAACCTACTACATTCCTAATCAGAAAACTCAAACTTTGAAATGCTCCAAATCTGAAATGATTTTAATGCTGACAGGATGCCACAAGTATAAAATTCCACATCATGAAACTTGGTTTAATACACAAAATTATTTAAAATATTGTATAAAATTACCTTTGTCTGTATTTAGCAGACATATGTGAAACAAATAAATTCTGTTTTAAGACTTGGGTCTTATCCTCAAGTTATATCATTATGTATATGCAAGTATTCCAAAAACTGAAAAAATTCAAAATCCAAATCTTCTGGCCCTAAGCATTTGGGAAAAAGGGATATTCAATATACCTGTAATAATTTTCAAGAAGAATGTACTCAGCAATAAGGTGAAAAGTCTTTTCTGTGGACAAACTGATCACCTTCTTGATGATTACTACCTGAAAAAGTAACCCAATCTTCCAAATATTCAGGACTTGGAGGTGAATACAAAATCATTGATCATTTATAAATTGACTGTATCACCCTTGCTAGCTAGAAAAACTGGCTGAATAATGCAAGCTGAATTTGGAGTTAGAGCTCTGTGTTCTAGTCCCACTCTGTCTTCTTGGTAGTGTTTGACCTTGATAAAATCACCTCTGTCTCCATTTCCTCATGTACAAAATAGTCTAACAACTTGTGGAGTTGCTATAAAGAACAAGTAAGACAACACTGTAATTGTGCTGTGTAAACTATGCAGCTACAACACAGGCAAATTTACTAACAATGACAACAAAAAAAGCTATAAATCTTAACAATAATTGGTAAAGTAATTTAAATATAGTTTTAATTGCCACAAGGTTTTGAATCTATCTTCACAAATTATTTTAAAAATTAATTAAAATGTCTACACATTGTTTAACTTAAGTAAACTGACCACATATAAAAAGCAAAAGAGTGTTCTTTCTATGTAGAACTACTCTTTATTTGCAGGGACAGGGACACCTGGAGAGGGGTGATCAATTGGATAGGTCTCTCTGAGCCACCTATCCAATTTCCCTCAAACAGTCAAACCCAGATGATACAATGGCCTACGACAGCAAGCAACCAGGAAGGTTTTCAGCACATGCTGGTCATATTCAATACAGTAATACATGGGCAAATAATTATGACTAGATAGACTCTGAGAAAAATGACATTTGACAACATCTTCTCTGAAGATAGGAAGTTTATAGACAAAGGTTTTAGAAAAGAAAATGACTTACTTCCTTCAATATGAGCCTGGGGGTTCTTATATAGATGTTCAATTCGACCTGTATTGAATGAACTGGATCGCCGTACAATTCCATGGACCTGAAATTTTAAGTATGAAAAAAAAAAAGTAAATTACAAGTGTGTAATGAGAATTAATAAACAACTCAGAAGGTCTTTTGCTAATATTTGGCTTTATGAAAAATATAACTATTTCTTATAAACATTATTTTTAAACTATTAAAAACAGTTATGGTGCTTATTTTCTCTCCAACTACTGCCCAACAGCTACTAGCACCCTACCTCCACCTTTCTCCAGTGTTTTTACTGCCAATCTCAACAAAAGTAATTAGATAATTATGTGACTTCATGCTTAGTTATAGATACTCAAATGTCTCCTTTGCTAAACACATATATTTGCTGCCCTACTGCTGAAAAAAAAATGTCTCTTCAATTTGAAACTGAAGACAGACCACATGAGGCTACATCTGTAAAACAGCTTTGTGGCCTATTTAACAGGGCATGGGGACTCCACATCTTTCCAATGTCCTCAGAGCTATTGCATGCTGCATCTATTTTGAGTGTGTGCGCGCAAACGTGTGTACATAAATAAAGTTTTTTTCTGTGGAAAAGTCAGAAAGCTAAATTGGACAAGTTAGGAATAAGATTCACACACTACAGGATTTAATAAGATATGAAGAAAACCCAAATGAAGCAAAGAATTTTTAAAAATTATCTTGATTTATCCATGATCAGCATGAGGGGATAAAGTTGCTGGAACAGGAATGCATACCTGTCTGATACTGAAGAAAAGACTATGTGTGTCTAATACATAACAGAAATTGTTCCAGACCTGGCCCCACTTCCTTCTTGTGTCAGGACTGCTCCCTTTGTGCTGCCAATGCTAACACTAGTTTATGTCACCAGCTGCCCAAGTTCCAGTTCCACTGGTGGCAGTTTTAATCCTTGACTTATTTTAGAAGTGTTCCTTCTAAGGTTGGGTAGGTTCATTGCAGCTGAATACACTTCTATATTTTTAACTCAATCGTTTTCTGTCTATTTCAAACCAAAATTAATCCTTGGCATGACTCAAGTATTCCAAATGCAAGGAGGAAATTATAAGCACATAAGACTTTCTTTCAAATAGAAAGAAATGTCATCGTCATTTTACATGGCATACATGAGAAATGACTTCTGCAATGGATGCAACACACCCACAATTAATAATTCTGTTAGTTAGCTGTATTACCCAAGAGGAAAGCACTCATCAACACTATTTTCCAGAAGAATAAAACTCAAGAAAAGTTGGTAAATATGTAAATATTTTAGTAGGGGTATACTGCATTCTTGGTTGACGTTTTAGGAGACAAACATTAAAATCTTAGAAATGGTGAGATTTGGTTATGCATAGCCATGTCTTAATTTAGAAGTATAAGAATATATAAATATTAAGTTTAGAATTTATTCTACTTTCATGGGCTACAATTGTTCAGGTTGTTACTTAATTGTTAAATTGAGCTTCTCTACAAAATTAATAAATTTGTTTAACAAAAAGCAATTTCACATACTTATACATAAGAAATCTGATGTTTAACACCAAAGTTATTTCTGAAATATATCAATACAGATGTCAGTGCTTTGTTTTATTTGATGGAGAGGAATGTATACATTGTAAAAATACATAATTTAACTTTGATAATGATAATAATAATAATATAGGGTATCTTGATTGATGAATTCTGAGGAAGTCACATATTCATCATGTGTAAGCATAAAAGACTTTGAAAAAAAATTAAACAATCTTTATGGATTCAATGTGAAAAGCAAACAATTATACAAAGTCATAGCAAATCAGTAACACAGGAACTTAATGTCACACTTACAATGAAAAGCATTAAGCACTATTTCTTTTTTTTCCTCTAATGAAAAAAAAAAAAGTGTTTTAATTTCCCCTCACTCCCAACTGTCGGTATGTATATACAGAGAAAGAGACTTGCCAAATGCTTAATCCATGACAGCAGGTATTATTCTAAGAACTAATGAAAGCTGAGTCTGTCTGCTTCTAAGACAGGTGAAATACAAACACTAAGACAAGCCAAATTGTATGCAAACTGCGTAATCTAGTTAAGAATTAAGAATTTGAGATTAACAGCTTCTCTTTATAGAAAGGATGTAGGGCTTTTTGTTTGTTTTTGTAAGGGTTTGGAAAGAGATGAGGGTTACAAAATCAAACTGAAAAGATAAATGAATTAAGTGACTTTATATGAACTTAACCAGAATTATTATTAAATTATAGTAGTTCAAAACTAAATTCTGAAAAACTAAAGTCTTAAATGGATATAAGTATTGTGGCAAACAAATATGTCATAGTTAATTAGGTGATGAAAGGGGAAATTTTAAGTTTTCTTCATATCAGAACAAAGTTATTTTGACTTCAAAATCTAGAGTCAGATTAGGCACTATGACAGAGAAATGCTTCATTATTTATTCATTATGATCAGGAACATGAAGAATCGATATCACTAAATGCCAATTCTTTAGTGTCTATATTTCTCTTGGAGGCATGGAATACCTTGCAGGGATGATTAATGTCACTCAGCCTTTGAAAAGTATGTAAATACATATTTATATTTAGGTAATATAAACAGTTAACATTTCCATGACAGTGACCACGGGTCAGACTCTGTCTTTTATAGATAAAAAAAAAAAAAACAATCACTCAATATTGAAACAACCAAGCTAATATTATTTCCATTTCTCAGATGAGGACACTGCCTGAGATCACACAGCTAGTAAGTAGTGACAGTTAAAGGGTTAACTGGGCCAATCTTGAAGATGCCCAAGGTAGTTTTAAATAAAGTCCATAAAAAGCTTGACTTCTTTCAAATAATGTATAAAGGCTTCTGGGATAATCAATAAGCCAAGGGAAAAAATATTTCAAGAATTCTCACTGATCAAGAAAGGAAGTGTAGGAGATCCACACTCGAACATATAATCTCCCCAAAGAAAACAACTGGATAATTCTTGTATCCCATTTCTTTTCTATTTTTATACTCTACCTCAGAGGAGGTGGTTATAGTTACTTTCCTGGGAATGAAACCCATAATGTACCTGTTATTTTATTTTAAATTCTGAGGTGCTGTGTTGTTGTTGTTGTGGTTGCCAAGTTATTTTAATATAGATTTTTCTTATATTCCTGGGTAAATGTTAGCTTTTATAAAGTTCAACTTAGTCTTTTATTTCTCTGATTCTTCTCTGTGCAAACCAGGCAAAAGCATATGTTGTTGGCAGTTTGTTGTCAGCTTATCTGCTAACAATGGTGCTGAGAAGGTATTTGAAACTAGAATGTACGAATGTACTTTCATAAAACATTTCACTTCTGTCAATTCCCACCCCCCCAGGATGGGGAAGAATGCATGCAACTCTGGCATCCAAGGCAAGAGAACATGCCTGCCTTTCATTAATGCTAATTTGTGAAGTAGACTAAAGGAGCCCACTATACCATCTCTGTCCACTAGCTTGTCAGCATCAGACACTATCTTTCATTCCTGTCACAATGAGCCCCTTGCATCTCACAGAGTTCCAAGGGCTAAGTGTTGTTCAAATGCTCTTATACCTAATCTTCACAACCATGTCAGGAGATAGGTATATTCATCATTCCCATTTACAGACAAGGAAACAAAGTCTTAGAGGGGCTGATTGACTTGCTCAAGGCCACAGAGCCAACAAGTGGCAGAAGAGGGATTAAGACACAGGACATACAGTTCTAAGCCATGGTGGGCTGGGCTGCTTGTTCAGCTTCCTTGCTCTATGCTGGTCCACAGGGTAAAAAAAGAATGACCTCCTGCACTTCAGTAAGGCACAGAATAAAGTCCATAATGAATTCACAGAATAATTTTCCACAAAATCTTGACAATTCTTTATTTTTCTCTTTTTTTTTATTTTATTTTTATTTTTTTTTATTGTTGGTCTTTCAAAACATTACATCTTTCTTAATATATCATGTTTCACAATTTGATTCAGAATGGTTATGAACTTCCATGATTACCCCGTATACAGATTGCTGAATCACATCGGTTACATCAGTTACATTTCCATTGATTTACACATTGCCATTCTAGTGTCTGATGAATTCTGCTCTCTAACCTATCATCTACTATCCCCCCACCCCTCCCCTCCCCTCCCCTCTCATCATGGGAGAACATTTCCACATATTAGCAAAGAATTAACAAGTGTTAGATCATTCTCTTTTAAGTCTCCTTACTGTTTAATTCTTAGTAAAATTCAAGAAACAAACAGCAATAAAACTGTAATTCTCACTGTCTTTTCTCAGTGAGAAATGGACTGTAATTAAAGCAGTACACCCAGCCTTCCATATCCATAGGCTCTACATTCATGAATTCAATCAACTACAGACAGAAAATTATTTTGTTAATTGGGTCTATATTGAACATGTCCAGACATCTTTCCTTATCAGTATTCCCTAAACAATACAGTATATAACAACTTTTTACACAGCATTTATATTGTGTTAGGTAATCTCCAGATGATTTAAAATATTAATATTTAAAAATACTAATATTTAAAATATTAATATTTTAAAATACTAATATTTAAAATATTAGAGAGGAGATATACAGGTTCTCTGCATATCTATGCCATTTTCTAGAAGGAACTTGAGCATCTTCAGATTTTGGTATGGGGAGGGTGTCTGGAACAAATCTCCTATAGATACCAAGGGATGACTATACATACTTTACTTTTTCACTTTTAACAGTTCTTTCAGAACATGATCAGATTTATAGATTTCAGTGACCACATTAAGCTTGTATGATCATACAAGGAATTAACCACTACTAATCAATCTGTTAATCTAATCCATTCCTTTTGAAGTCATCCACAGATGTCTGGTTTTGCTTTAAGATTAGTTAAGCTTTTTGTATTTAAAAAAAAAAGGAAAGAATGAATGAAAGAAAATAGGGGAAAAGTAAAGGAGCATAGTTAACTGTGCTGTGCTAGTTCTGCATACCCTGTCTATGCCACCCCGTCATTACTACCCCACAGACCTGATTGCTCCTCTACCAGCCACCTTCATAATACCAGACTGACCTTCTACTGCTAGCCAGTCAGTATGCCTCGTGTTTTCTAAGAACAACTCAATCTCAGCATCAAGCCTCTTCACAGTGTTTATTTGTTTCTGGCTTGTACTTTGCTACCCCAAACTAGGCTGTTTCCAGTTATTTCTAAGTTTAGTGATATTCCTGATACAAAGAACAGATTTGAAATAGCTCAGAGAAAAAAATCCCCACAAATCTGGAATATGTTAAGTCATCTATGATTAAACAGTCACCATATCTCATTTGAACCTTTACTCATAGTAGGTCCTCCACATGTAGTTCATGGTTGCCACAACTGGGGACAAGATAGAAAGGACAATTTCCAAACTTTTGAACCAGGCTTTGGTATCTTAATGGGACCTCTCTCTGAGAACCCACTGAGAAAGTTTGGGAACCCATAGAGTTAAAAGTCTGTACTCATCTAAAATTGCCAGAGTTGACCCTCAAGGGTTCAGATGTGAACAAATGTGTCCCCCTCTCATCATACTGCACACAACCTACTAATTCTATTTCTGCTTGTGGTCAAAAACTACAGCTGATACTTCTCAAAATTTTCCAATGTAGCAAATGTGAAAAATCACTCTAACATTCACTTTGATCTACACACAAAAAGATAAAGCCTACAACACCATCTGATTCTTCTCAATAGCTTATTCTCCAAGTATATCAATCTCTGAAAGTTCTCAACAGCAGCCTACTGAAACAGAATACAATGCAGATAAACACCTTTTATTCCAACCATCCTTATAGCGTTCACATACTCCCTATACTATGTGGAAAACTTGTTTCTACTTATACTTTGTGGCTCAATACCTTCCCCCTATACTGTCAATCATGTTTTCTTTTATCAATTATGGATCTCACTCCTAAGTGTCTCCTTTCTGGTCAATTATTATTTCTGTGATAAATTCCTCCCAAATAACCATGAATTGCCAAGTGGGCTTTCTATCATCTCTATAAGAATCTAATCTGCACTTATAATTTCATTGCCAATGAAAAAAATATATTTGCACTCACCAAGCTGCCCCAGGTTCTCTGAGTGTTTCCAAACCTCTCATCCTAGTTAACTTCTGAAATTGGCTGGGTCCTTAACAAGTCACCTGAATAGAGCTTTGCCTCTGCATGCCACTCTCCTTCATAGTCTTTGGCAGTAGCACTAACTGCACCACCATGCACTGGTTCTTCAGCCTGAGAATGGGCCCTGCCACTTATCAACCATTATCACAGCACACAGCCATACTCCCTTGTCCTCAGGACTGGATATGGACACTGCCTATAGCCAACTACTTCATCTCTAGTCCCAGTCCTCATGACAACTTTAACAAAGACCTTAATACCCATGAAGCTACAGAGTCTCTCCTGCCATACCACCTCCTTCTGCAATAATGCAATAACTACTTCTCTGCTAGCTCCTTCCCCTATTTCACTTGTGCCTCAACCACAGTACTGGCCACCAAACACCTCCCAGTAGGTCTTCCATATCTGAAACACAGTACTATGGCTATTTCTCCTTTTAATGTTTATTAAAGCATAGATTAATCTGAATTGATAATATAACCCTTTCCTAGAAACAACTCTTTGAACTATGAATGATCTATTCTAAAACTCTGCTCAGTAGAACCTATATTTATACTTTTGATTATTATAGCAGTCTATTCATATGGGTATATACGTACACATGTATTTTCATAATTACACTTGCCTTATTTTGATGTTGCAAGATGTAGAACTATTAGGAAAGAATACAGAAGGTGGTCAACACACCTGCTATGAATTCTTAAGGTCTAGAAGTCACGGCTCTCAAAAAAGTTTCTGAGTTATAGTAAGAAAATTAATTTTCTTTTCTTCAAACCCTATCTATTGGCATTTAGATGCTCGATTCCATGCTGTTGTTTTTTTTCCATTGTCTACAACTACACATTTTTACACAATGTCCTTACAACTGGAATAAAAATACAATGCAAAGCCATCAATACAAATGTTCCCAAAGCAGGTTAGAGCATATGGGCAATAGTGTGTGGGTATTTATTCTCTGCATAGCATGAACTTACACATACATAGATATCTGAAAAAAAGTCTTTGAAAAGTAAGATATACACACTGAATCACATCAAATTTCATACAAAAACCTAGGTTTCTTTTAAGGAAAGAATAAAATGTTGAAGGCAAAGAAGAAAAAAAACAATGATGAAGCAGCAATGGCAGCAGCAAACCTGAAAGTTTCAGCTTTCATAAAATATATGGCTGCCTACTAAGAAAGCAAAAACCTTCAGGTGTAATTTCTCATTCAAGCTTGCCAAAGATCAGCTTGGCTTTTATTGCTCCGTGTAATTTCCGATTTAGGTGACTTCACTGTGAGTGGGACTTTTTATACAACACATTACATCATAAATTAGTGCTCATAATGTTACAGCTTGGGCTTAAGAAGGCTGAAGCTTTATCAGAGATGTGTGGAGCGGCTGAGCCACCAGCGCTCACCAGCAGATAAAGAGCACAATAAGCTGGCAAGATCACAGGCCAGCAGCACAGTCTTCCCCAGATTCTGATTTGTTATCAGTTTCCGTGGAAAATCAGGAGGATGCAGCAGAGGAAACGTGAGGCCCTGTGTCTGAACAAATCCACCATCCGCTAGCCCCCTGAGTCACTCACCTCGTAGCCTTTCTCCAGCAAGAACTCAGCCAAATATGAACCATCCTGGAGAGAGAAGAAAAAATGAGAAGTGTCAGACCTATGGTAGCTAGAATTAAAAAAAAAAAAAAAAAAAAAAAAAAAAAAAGGCCTACACTAAGAATAAAAAAAAATGGCCTACACTAAGAATTTTGAGAAAAGCATTTAAGAGGTTTCTTGAACTAAAATAGAGGATCATGGCAACCAAAATAAAACAATACCAATAAAGACAATAAACACCATACAGCATTCCACTATTCCTGGGGAATTTTCCCAGACAGTAATCCATTTGCACTCCATAAAAGACAAAGGAAGAAACTGAAACCCAGAGAAGTAGTTAACATGAAGAGAGAAAATGCAGACCTTTAGAATCACATGGATTTGGGTTTACATTTTGCTACTCACAAGCCATATGAAATACACAAATGTGTGCAATGTAAAATGCCTTGTGATAAACTCCTTCCAGATAACTGTGATTTGCCTTGGTGCTATGGGAACATAAAGCAGGAATATGACAAATCGAAGGGAGGTACCAAAAAGGAATCACTGGATAAGGGATCAGATGGAGACAAAGGAGGCTTGAAGAGGAAAGGGCAGGGAAGAGGAGGCAGAGAACATGCAGTGTAGGCATTACTGAAAAAGAGACTACTCAATAGAGTGGAAAAGCCAGCAGGGCAGTGAAGGGAAGTTAGCACCTTTAGGGAAGGCTTCCAGGCCTTGGAGGGAAGTTGGCTGCTAATCCCAAGGGCTCTGGGAAGTCATTGATGAGTTTAAGGGATTTTAGGGGTGTGTGTGTGTGTGTTGTGGGGCAGGAGGGAGGTATAGATGTGACCAGATCTGTATTACCACAGCACATGTATGCTCCCACACACACATGAACTTTCAAAAAGGGGAGGATATTAGCTTTTCACAAATAAGTGCTTCATTTGTATTAATTTTCAGTCATGTAGTTCATCACTACCTCAATCCCTATCTCATGAAAGTGTTTGACTAAATACCGAGATTCTCAATTGGATTCTAATAATTCTTTCAAAAATTTCTAAGCAGGGTCTCTGTTTAAAATATTTCGTGTACCACTTTCAGGGAAAGAAAGTACAAAAGATAACTAATTAAACTAGTAAGAGGTCAAAAGCTGGGAAATCACCATTCAAGAGACACTTTAAAAGTCACATTTTAAATAGGGATCTTCTAACACTCCAGTCAGAATGGCAGCTATTATAAAGACAAACAACAATAATTGTTGGTGGGGATGTGGGGAAAAAGGCACCCTCATACATTTCTGGTGGGACTGCAAACTGGTGCAGCCAATATGGGAAGCAGCATAGAGATTCCTTGGAAAACTGGGAATGGAACCACCATTTGACCCAGCCTATCACTCTCCTTGGTCTATACCCAAAGGACTTAAAAACAACATACTATAGGGACACAGCCACATCAATGTTTATAGCAGCACAATTCACAATAGCTAAACTGTGAAACCAACCTAGATGCCCTTCAGTAGTTGAATGGATTTTAAAAAATGTGGCATATATACACAATGGAATATTACTCAGCAATAAAAGAGAATACAATCATGACATTTGCAGGTAAATGGATGGAGCTGGAGAAGATAATGCTAAGTAAAGTTAGCCAATCCCCAAAAAAACAAATGCCAAATGTTTTCTCTGATATAAGGAGGCTGACTTATAGTGAGGTAGGGAGGGAGAGCATGGGAGAAATAGATGAACTCTAGATATGTCAAAGAGGTGGGAGAAGAAGGGAGGGGGCAGGGGGTTAGCAATGATGTTGGAATGTGATGGACATCATTATCCAAAGTGCATGTATGAAGACATGAATTGGTATGAACATACTTTATACACAGAGATATGAAAAATTGTGCTCTATATGCGTAATAAGAATTGTAATGCATTCTTCTGCCATGTATTTAAAAAGTAAAATCAATTTTAAAACGTCACATTTTGTAATCAATCCTGTAATTGCTCTTCTTTTTTTAGCCCCAGTATGGGGTCCCATCTTCCCACCCAGACTTAACAAAAATGGGACACCGTAACTACTGGGAATTTGTGACCTCTAAAGTAGTTGGGGATGTTTGAAGTTTCTTGGGTATCTTCAGTTTTAAAAAGCTTAAAATATACCTTTCAGCTTCAAAAGTTCTTACCAGATATCCAGGAAAAAGAAAAATAATGCAAACCTTATGATTATCATGACTTGACCGAAAGCTGGAACTGGAGCTACCCTATGGGTCCTGGAAATGACAGGACTGCCAAGGAAGTGTATACAACATTAATGTAGAAGTCCTACATAAATTCAGGCAGAATGACAAGGCAAGGCATACAAGAGACACATTTTGTGGTTCATTAAAACCTCCAGCAGATATTTTTCAGACTTCTTGACATAAATATTCTGGTTTACGGACTCACATGGAGAAGAAAAGAAAGGGTTTGTGCTTTTCATCCCAATATTACCATGTGCATGGTTTTTACATGCTCAATACGTTAACTAAATCAGTCCATAACCTGTCCAATTCAGGCCAGGACAAGCCAGGTTGGCCTACACTACCATCACAAATGTTAAATCAATCAATGACAAAATACAGTAGTAGAAAAATATTTACAAGAAGAATTAACAATATGGCAATAAGATAAAAAGGCCTAGGAGTATAAAGCTTTGTTGTTGTTGTGTTGTTTTGAAGACAACACTTTCCATGTACCAAAATTCTCTTGAAATAACAAGTGAAAATGCTGTGTGTCCTACCATAGTTGCATAGGATGTTGTTTTTTTAAAAAAAAAAAAAAAAAAAAAAGGCAGAGGTACAGGGGATGGGGGTGGGGGGAAGCTGTGATTATTTAGAAAGCTGATGTGAAACAGACCTGACCAGCACTGAACCCTGTCAATAAGGTCTTGTTCTTCTCACCCAGGCTGCTTCTCAAACTTTCCAACCACACTGGAACATTCTGAACCAGCAGTGGCACTAGCTTCCTCCTCATTTCCTTGCCAGGCCTTTCCAGTGATAGGGCCCAGGCTACACAATGAGTGGGAAACAAGCCGAGCGTGGGCTCCTGGTCTCCTGCCCAGGGAGCCCAGCTGGCCTCCCCTGGGGGCCTCCAAGGGAGACAGGGTATCTGAGCAGGCAGGCGTCCTCTGAGCTATCAGGATGGTTGTTTCTACCCTCTCTTGAAGCACAGGCTGATAGAGAATGCTCCAATCAGACTAATGGCTGAAATGTCATACCAATGGAGAACCTGCAACTCACATTAAGTTCTGACACTTGACTCCTCTGAGACAAAGGCACGAGCCAGCTAAATCTCTAACTTGTTCATTATAAACACAATTACTCTGGTATAAATCCCAAATTGGCTTCAAATCCTGTTGCAAAAAAACTTTTTAATTTAAAAGATAATGTCCCAACCGTGACCCTTTCAAATTTAATTTTGCATATGGTTATTAAGGGCATCTATTTCATATAAAATGCTATACTATTTTAGGCAATCTCCATTGCTTTAATGTTTTCAGACACAGAATTTTTCTGGTCTTATTCTTAGAAGAACTCGGCTAGGAAGGTAAGCAGCCATTTGGAAATAGGCAACTGAGGCGAAGGAGGTTAGCAAACTTACCTAACAGTATACCACTAGTTACAGACAAAACCAGAATTAGAATCCAAGTCCTTCATTATTTTAAACTAGAAAATAATCTCCTTACTTATTCTGCTCCACCTGGAAACTACCAAAACAATGTCAAGACCCAACAAAATAATAAGAGACCATAAAGGAATCGTTTTTCAAACCAGCTTGATTTAGTCATTTCCCATTACAGGGTGTTTTATGAATTAAACAAGGCTTCCAGTTTTAATCAAGTGACCCAAACCCAGAAAAGTCATGTAATTTTAGAACACTCAGAGCTCAGAAGAGAGAGAAAGGATACAGTGCCTGAGATTTCCCAGGTCTCATATATGCGCCTGTAGGGCAGTACAGTATCATGTGGGGGTAGAACTGACTTGGTGGTGGACATATGTCAGAGGAAGGGATGGGGCCCCTGCCAAGAGCCAAAGGATCTGGTTTCAGTGTGCTTGACATCTACCATATTCCTTTGAAGGATGAACCCTCACTTCCATGGAGTACTCAGAAATGTCCAATAGGAGTCACATAAAAATTAAGCATAATCCTAAAAATTAATAGTCATATTTTGACTATTATATAAAAAATTACTTAAAACTCCACATCTATTTAAAAAAAAAATAAAGGAAACAGAGAAAGTTTCTCCCTTCTCCTAGTGGTCAGAGATGGCTAGAAAAAGCACTCAACTGATCTTTACACCCACCCATAAATGTTTCTTTTCTCTCTTCCAAAGTGAATGAGCCTATAGCCCAGGTGGACAAATGAAAAGGAATGTTCTCATGTGCAACCTGAGAGCACGGCCCCTCTGAACTGCAGGCTAAATCACATTGTATGTTTCTGTTTATGCACCGTTTAGCAGCTTCTTTGAACAGGATAAGATAAGTAGTACTAAGCTGGAGAAACTGCACCAGTAATAAAATGAATCTCTTTGTTTAGGTCATCAAGCTTCAGGAAACAGAACACCCTGTCTGCATCACGAGAACGCACTCATTTACTCAGCCTTTCATGCTTTTACTCTGGGTATTCTAGTTATTCTAAAAAGACCAAGTTCACAGCAAATCTCCACTACAGTATCAAGAAAATTCATCCCTCTATTAAAAGAACTACAAACACCTCCATAATTAACAGAGGATGCTGTTTTGAATCAGAACAAAAACTTCTAGTGATTTAACCACTAGAGTGTGAATCATCTAGGGGCAGAATATATTGGAAAAGTACTTACACCTGGTTCATGTTTGTCAAATCACTGGATAAAATCTCTGTCAAACTCACTGAATTCAAAAGACCATGGGGATTAATTAATCCAACCCTTTCATTTTAAAGATCAGGAAATTGAGACTCAAAACAGTTAAATGTTTAGTGTATAGTCATACACTGAGGAATGCATACACACACAAAATGGCTCTGGTTGCC